GAAGCGCCAGCGACGGGCACACTCCCCACTGGAACATTGTAGTTGGAAGGAAACACAACTTGGAGAGGGGAACAGGAAATGGGAGAAGAAAAAGAGACAGATGGCCTAGAAAGCTCACCTGAGCGAGTCGACTCGGCAGAAGAAGCAGACTCGGACTCACCACCATCTCCGTAAGAACGGGCGGAATCATTTTGACTATCAAAAGCGTTCGACATGGCCAAAAAATATCAAAACTTAGAAAAAGAAAAAAGAGCAAAAATTTCCAATAAAGAGGCAACAAAAATAACCAATAAAAGAATGAACACTAGAAATTCAATGGCGTCAAAAATGACAACAACAAGGCAAGAATCGGTCTATAAACAAGAAAGGAAATATATAGGGGCTAATTAACAACACAACAAAGGGAAAAAGAACGATCTTTGGAAAAATGCATACTTAATTTTACATATGAAAGTACAAAAATGGTGGAAGAAGGTTTAAGGACGGTACCTTGTGAAGAACGAACAACAAATGTGTAGCAAACACAGGCTAGTTCACGGCGAACTTGCGGCGAGCGATACCCAAGCAAATTGCGAAACTCAGAGCAAGAAGAATAGTGAAAGAGAAGGAAGTGAAAATTAGAGCAAGGAGAGAGTAACTGGAAAAAAGCAAGTGAGTGAATGGGAAAAGAAAGAAGAGCAATAAGATGAAAATCGGTTTAGTGGAAACGTGGAATACGAAAAGAAGAGAGGGAAAACGGAATAATGGCATTAAATGGCAGTTACCTACCCAACAAAAAGAGGTAACTACCCACTAAACATAGCCACGTCGTGTAAAAGAAAAAAAAAAGAAAAAAGAAGAAGAAGAGAGAAAAATCAATCTGACAAAATCAAAGCTCCTCGCTCAACCTCAGCTCGTCGCTTTGAAATAACTTCAGCAGGAGTAATCAAAGCTCCTCACCTAGACAATCCAACACGACGCACCTCACTAGCGGAACTCTCTGAGCCTTAAATCAGCGGATTGCAGATATGAGACTCAGGGGGGCTAGTTGTATGAGGATGATTTCGGTCAGCAAATCCAACCAAGTAATGACCAGCAAAAGTCACACACTTGGAAGAACTGGCACAAATCCCTCGTACCACCTCTTGGGGGACTAGTTGTATGGGATAGCTTCGGCAGAGCTCTTCCCATGCTCCTAACCTCAAGGAAGAGGAACGTCATAAGTCAGCAAGAGCTGGCCTGAGTGCCTCAAGCCACCTCTTGAGGGGCTAGTTGTATAGGGTAGCTCCCGCCGAACTGCCCTGCGCTTCTAGCATTGCTTGAGGGGTGCACACCGTGCCAGTCTAGTCCAAGGCAATGGAAGGCCCTCCTAAGGGCTCAACCTCACGGTTGACCCCAGAGGGCTCCATCTCAAAGTCAGGGATAATTAGGGGTGAGCAAAACCGGGTACCCGGTCAATTTTAATGGACCCAGAACCGGACCCGGTTATAACCGGGTCCGAGATTTTGGAACCAGAACTGGAACTGGTTGTAACCGGGTCTCGTAGTGGCGGAACTGGTCCCGGAACTGGTGGGAACCGGTTCCTAGACCGGGTACCCAGTTCTTATTTCAATTATTTCCCAAAGTTAAAATTCAGTAAACACTATCAATAAAAGAAAAAAAAAAGTAAACCATTATAATTTCATATGAAATAAAAAATATAAATCTCCAAATATATTCCATTGCTTCATTCTTTGCAATTCTAGAATGATGTAGCAAAAATAAACAATTCTTTAAAAAATTATAAACAACAAAAATTATGATCTAAAATTACAACCAAAACATAAAAAAAATAATCTGAAATTTTAACAAAATAAAACTAGATTTAAAGTTTAACCTAAATTAAAATTAGATCTTTAATTTAGAAACTTGATTGCAGCGGCTTAGTGGTGGCTCAAGTGTGCTTGCGGTGGCTCAACGATGCTTGTTACTCAACTCGCTCGGCTTGTTCATTCCAAAGGTGGTTGGACGGTGGGGTTTTAAGAAGAGGATTGAGTGGAAGTATGTGGAAGAGGAAAGAGAAAGAGAGGAGAAAATATGAAGGGAGGAGGGTGGAAAAAGATATATAGAGATTTAGATAAGATGATGAAGAGAAAGGGAAAAGGAGAAAGAAGAAGATCTAATGAATATGAAGTGAAGAGTCTTCACTGAAGATTGGAGACAGTGAAGAGGAGAGAGAGAATAGAAAGGGTAAGAGGGGGGAGGGCGGTGATAAAGATGGATTAGGGTTAGGAATAAGTTGGGCATGTCATATAACATGCATATATATGGACTATGGTCAGAAATATGTTGGGCTCCATATATGAGTATTGGGTCTATAAAAATATTTAAATTCATGAACCAGGTAACCAGTGGGTACCGGGTCCAAATTTTCAGGACCTGGAATTGTATTTCCGGAACCTAGCTGGTGGCTGGACTTGGGTGTTGGCTAGGATTACCTGCATAATGAACAGTGATTATGCCCTCGGGGGTGGCTTCGAGTAACCCCCCTCCGAAGCTTAAGGTAGTAAGGTTTTGGATAATAATGAGCAAGTGATGAAAAATGAGTGTCTTTAACCTCTTTTTCGTTGTACTTGGATTACTATTTATAGTTGTTCTATTCTCGGTGTTGCAGGCTGAAGCCTGCTGAGGCCAGCCCTGGGGTCGAGCTCTTGGAAGATTATCCCTAGGGGTGAGCAAAGAACCAGGGTACCCGGTACTGGACTCGGAACCGGTTCCTACCGGGTCTAGAATATTGGAACTGGTCCCGGAATCGGTGAGACCGGATCCTGTTCTGGACCCGGAGGGTCCGAACCGGTTTCGAGTACAGTACCGGGTACCCTGGTTCTTGCTCACCCCTAGGGATAATCTTCTAAGAGCTCGACCCCAGGGCTGGCCTCAGCAGGCTTCAGCCTGCAACACCGAGAATAGAACAACTATAAATAGTAATCCAAGTACAACGAAAAAGAGGTTAAAGACACTCATTTTTCATCACTTGCTCATTATTATCCAAAACCTTACTACCTTAAGCTTCGGAGGGGGGTTACTCGAAGCCACCCCCGAGGGCATAATCACTGTTCATTATGCAGGTAATCCTAGCCAACACCCAAGTCCAGCCACCAGCTAGGTTCCGGAAATACACCCGGAATAATAATAATAATTATTATTGTTATACAAGTGCATACCATTGATTTAGGTGAATGAAAACATAAATAGATATGTACCATCTTTAACATAAGTTAATAGTAGAAAGATAAAAGACAATAGTTTAACATTTTCAAATTATTACAACCACATATCAAAATAGGAACATAACTAGATAAGAGTTTAACACCGTGGTGAATTAACCATCTACTTTCATATGATCTTCATTTTCATCATCTTTATTATCGCTTTGATCTTCATTGTCATCACCTTTATTGTCGCTTTCCGATCGATTTTCCCTCCAAATTCGGCGTGCTATACGATATCGCACTTTGGCCATACTATCTTTGCACCATTGTGCAAACATAGTTGAATCTGCTACTCCTATATTCGCATCATGTTGAATGATTGGTAAGCCAAGCGTATGCATCCGAATAAAATTATGTAGTGTGCAAGTGGCTACAATGATTGACATTTGACTCTTTTGTGACACTTGTGGCATGTTATCTAAAATCCTCCTTATTTTTTTAATTTTCTTTTTCCAATTGTATGGGTAATTGGGGATAATATTGTGAATTGGTTTTGGCAATATTTGACCACAAAGATATTGGTTGAAGCTTTTGATTAAATGCATTGTACATTTTTGGGTAGCTTTTAGATTTGATTGTTAATTAATCCAATTTACTTTTTTCTTTAAATAAAAAAAGGGTGACATAATAGTGAAATATATTACTTTTTTTTATCATTACTTATTATTATAAAATAATATTTTAGTATTATTATTAAATATGAAGTATTATTATTCCCTCAAAAAAAAATATTATGTGTTATTATTATGATCAATATATATTTAGAAATTGTTATACATTATTATTAATTAATATTATTATAATTATTATTATTTTTATTGTGAAATTATTAATTTTTTATTATTATTTTATACTTATTATTATTATTTATTATTATTATTGTTGTTGTTGTTGTTGTTGTTGTTGTTGTTATTATTAATTATTTATTTTAAAGATATTATTAATTATTATTTTTAATTCAGAACAGAGCAGATTTCAGTCGAGCATAGCAGGGCTCAACAGAGCAAAGCAGCCCTAAAGAACAGGGCCATACTCTTGTTGAATTAATATGTTTGCTATTATTATAAAATGAATATATATTATTATGTAATATATCACTAGATTGTTCATAATGTCTATTCTCAAAATTTACTTTTTTTTTATAATATTTACTAGTTAATAATTGAATGTATTATATGTCAAAGTTATGTCTCAGTAAATGTGTGAGTCAAAGTGATGTAAATACTAAAAGACAATGGGAGTATCATGTAATCTTTGTAAAACTACCTTAGAAAAGAATCAATAACATAATATCAAAACAGACACCATGTCATTCCTGGTGCTGTCTTTTCCCTCTAAAACTCTCCCTCCCCTTTTAGCAAAAAAAAATTTATTTTTTGAATATTTGCATAATAATACAGCTATAACAATATTATTTCCAATCTTATATATTATCTTTACATAAAATGTATTTCTTTTTATTTTGTGTTCTTAATTCAATACTATCATTACCGCGCGGACATCTTTTAGACGAAGTATTATTGAATTTTTTTTCTCAATTGTAGTTTTAATAATTTTTGCCTTATTATTTTATTTTTCTATATGCATTGTATTTGTCGTATATTCCACATGAATTGCCTCATATTTATATTATATTACAATTAATTAGGAAAAAAAGATTATTACTACCGTGCATCGTACAGACACTAATCTAGCTGATGCAATATTTTTAGGACATATATAGTATATAAATGATCGAGACATCATAAGTAAACCATGTGTGCGATGGAGTATAATAATATTGATCATCATTCATACATTAAGTTGGGTCATATAGATCAATTTCAAATTTATATTATGACATAAAGTTTGTGAACCCTTGTTGTTCGTACACTATCGTAATTGAACCATACTGATTAATAACATTGCAAACAAAGTAAAGCATTTTATTTACGTATAGTGTTTCAATGAAAAGATAAACATAAGATAACTTCTCTCACAGACAGATTGAGAGACAATTAATATTCTTAGCTTGTGTAACGAGTTACGTTTAAGCAGCTCTAACTGGAATGTGGATGATTTTGTGCTCAAATTTGGTTATCTTTGGCACAGTAATGTAGAGAACACCGTTTTTAAACACGGCCGTAATCTCTTCGTTCCATGAATTCGAAGGCAATTGAACCCTGCTATCATAGGGGCTAAAGATCTTTCTTCCAAAAGCATCAATTCCACCTTCTCCTTTGATCACTAGCAAGTTATCCACCACTTCAACCTCGATGTTTTCTGCTGCAGTTCCTGGCATGTCGAACCACATCCTGATCTCGTGTTCATCCTCACTAGTATTCCAGGGAGTTCGGACTGCAAATAAATTAAAGCATTCCATAATTATATCACACGGAAAAATGTTTGGTTAACCCTTTGAATTAAAAGTGTCACAATGCCAATAATAATCTTGATAAAACTGCTAGAAGTGAGAGTATTTACCGTAAGGAGAGGTTTCAAGGAGGGCGACCTTTTTGTGAAAGGGTTCACCAGTCATAGGATGGACAGGGTCAATAGGCTGCCCACCAGCCTGTTGGGCACGGACCATCAAAGACGACCTTGAAGAAGGTTTCTTTGATGGAGCAGCCGATACCACAGAAGGTTGCGGGATCAACCCAACAGGCAACGGGCTGGTAAATGCCCTGCTTGACACCAGAGTAGTTGCTGAACATGCCAAGGCCTTGCTTGCCATTTTCGCCGTAACAAAAAATATATGGAAATTGGAATTGAGTATACTTCACTAGGAACAAATATACAAGTAAGAAATTATACAAACTCTATGTTTCACACTCATTTGTTGGAGCTATTTATAGAGTGAGTTTAGTTGGCTTTACTTTTTTCTAGTAGAAGCCAAATTCTAGTAGAGTAAGGTAATAGAAAACCTCACTTTTTTCTAGTAGAAGCCTAATTCCTAAGTTGGTATTCTTAATTGAAAGCAATGTACTGTAATAGAATAAGGTATTTTTCCCAAGCTAAAAGAAGCAAATAAAGTCATAATTCGAACAAACTATGTTTATTTTATCATGCCATAAATGTATTGTATTCTGATTTTGTGTCCTTTTGCTAGAATATGCTGCCTTATGACTTTGCTTTTGTTTGTGGTAAGACATTTCTTGCATCGTAATTTTTCAAAATTCCTATACAGTTTTATTTTATTTATTTTTAATTCAATTTAATTTATTTATTCATTTATTATATTTTGGGCTAGCTAGGATTTTTTGTTACATTTTTATGAGTTATATATAATATCAGCAAAACTTGGAAAAATTTCTTACACCATAATATTATTGACTTTTATGATTACTTTTTAAAAAAAAAGATGTAAATTAGAATAGTTTTAAATAATGTTATTAGTTCCATTTACTATTTGCAAAAGAAATAACGTAAAGGAGAGTTGAGTTAGAGTAATAAAGGCGGGCGGGTGAGAAAAAAATAGGTAAAGTACCCCCTTCGGCATCCGTGTTTAGATAAATAAAATGTTTTCTTTTTATAGAGACGTTTAAATAAATGAAACATTTCTTTTTACAGTAACTTCTTTCTATTTTTTTTTTAATAATATTCTCTCTACTTTTTAATAATATTCTACTAATTAATGATCCTCACAAAACTCCTTATTTTCTTCTCTCTTCAAACTTATACCCAACTACCTATTATTTTAATAAATTCAACTAAACTTCCTAAAACTACGTATAATTCAAAATGTTTTACTTATTTAAATACGAAGGAAGTAACTATAAGAAAGAGAGAATAAAAAGGTGACTGAGTGCATAAAAAACGTGGATATTGTAGGTTTTGGGAAATTTGATAACAAAAGCAATTTTCTAAAAATAGAATATTTAAGAACAATAAAATGCACGACAAGAAATATGTTTTAAGTCCATTTTATTATAGCCCACTAATTTACGGTCACTTAGAGAACTCGTGTGACCGTGTCGACTCCCTTACTCCCTTACTAAGTTGTCTAATAAGAGTCCATAAACAAAATTCAAATAAGGATCTCGGTCAATGTACAAGAGTTTATGTTAAACTAATTGGATGAAATTCGTGTGATACAGAATTTATTTGTATTTTTAAAAACTAATACTACGTATGTTATGTATTTATGTGATTATTTTTTTTTTATATATTATTAAAATAGATGAAAGCCCGTGCGATGTACAGTATTTTTATACATAAATTGTACGAAAAGATAAATTTCTTAATTAAACCATATAATATTTTGATTAATTTGCGATTGTATGTATAGAATAATTTTTTTATTAATTTTATATAATTTATAATGTGACCTTACTAATTTATGTTGGTTATGTGGGAAGTTATTTATAATTAATATGTAAATTTTTTTGGATATTAGAATAAAATACATCACATCTATAATATTATAAAAACTCAAATAGACAACATGATAGTGGCATGTGTCACCCTTTACCTCAAGTGCATTAGAGGTATATATATATATATGTATATATATTTATATATATATATTTATGTATTTATATATATATATATATATATATATATATATATATATATATATATATATATATATATATATGTAATGGATCATGTGAAAGCAAGTCTAAAATTGAAAACTAAAAACAGATAATCTAGACCATTGAATTTTAATCAACGGATGAGATTATATCCGCGTGATGTTTAATCTTAAGTTGGGTTTTGTTTATTGATATCTGATAATCCTTTCTCTCTCCTCTATTTTTTACTCTATTTTTCTCTCTCCTCCTTCTCACGTTCTCCGTCTCACTCTTTCTATCTCCTTTTCCCAAAAAAGTGAATCACTAAACACAGAAGAATTTGCTTCAATTTCCATCAAAATCGCCATTAGAATTTGCTTCAATTTTCATCAATTTCGTCGTTAGCTTCAAAATAGTGAGTTTTTCGTTTATGATTTTTGTTTAATTTGGTATATTCTATGTTTTTTTTTAAATCAAACTGATTTTTCGATTAGATTTTTTTGAGTTTTGATTTGAATCAGTTTTGTGGAGTAGTCCTGAGCTGCATTTGTGTGATTTTGCTTGATTTTAGTAGATTAGGTTTTTTTATGTAATTTTGGGTCGATTTTCTTATGTCACGAATTCAATTGAGTTGTATGTAGCAGTAATTACGCTTTATTTGAGCTATTTCATGCTTATTCGCGTTTCATATGAGTGTAATTATGTCAAAATTTGACTTAATTTCTTTGTATGGAATTCTTTGATCTACATTTGTGTATATTTTTGTTGATTTGAGTAAATTAGGTTTTTTTTTTTGTGATTTTAGCTTGATTTTGCATCTTTGATCGTAGAACTTGGATAATTGCTGGTTTTTTTACAGTCGAATAATGATAATTTAGGTTTTAGTTGTTAATTGATTGATAATCGACTTGGGAAAGTGATTGTTGATGTTGCTGAAGGAGATGCCGAAGATGTGAACAGAGTAGTATCTGCTGCTCGGAAAGCATTTGATGAAGGACCATGGCCAAAGATGACTGCTTATGTAACTAAATTTCCGAAAATTCGTGAAATTATACTTCGATTTTACGTTGTAAATATTCCTTAAGCCAACTTTACTGTTGATCTACTGCAGGAAAGATAAAAAATCCTTTTGAAGTTTGCAGATCTTATTGAAAAGCATAATGATGCAATTGCTGCTTTAGAAACATGGGATAATGGAAAGCCTTATGAGCAAGCTGCCAATATTGAAATACCTATGGTTGCACGCCTTTTCCGGCACTATGCTGTTAAGTAAATACTCCATAACCAAGATTACCCTAAGCTATGGCATTTTCTTGTAAATAAGTAACTAATATAGTGAGGTTGAATTTCTTATTATTTTTTGGCCCTAGAACAAGCTACTGTCAGAGAACTTATTTTGATTTCTGATCCTCAGGTTGGGCAGATAAGATACGTTGTCTCACCATTCCTGCTGATGGACCGTATCATGTACAGACTCTGCATGAACCAATTGGTGTAGCAGGGCAGATTATTCCATGGAACTTTCTACAGTATTAATCTCTACAAGTCTTGTCTTGTCATTTATTTCCTGGTTTTTAATTGCAATAAACCATTCGGTTGTTGTACGACATATGGCAGGAAGCCGCGGCAGCAAGGTATGGAATCCAAGTGGCTTATAGATTGGGTGTTGCTTGTCTATGGTTGGAGGTTACCATCAAAATTAATATAGTTATCTTATCTTTTTATATAGTGACCTTTATGTAAATCTGGTCAAAATTGATATAGTTACCCTACTTTTGTATATAGTGACTTCTTTGAGAATATGATCAGAATTGATGTACTTACCCTATTTTTGTATATAGTGACCTTAATGTAAATGTTGTAAAAATTGATATATTTACCTTATTTTTGTATATAATGACCTTTGTGTAAATGTCGTCAAAATTTATATAGTTACGTTATTTTTATATATAGTGACTTTATGTAAATGTCGTCAATTTAGATAAAATTACCTTATTTTAGCATGTAGTGGCCTTTAAAACAGTTGAATTGATTATATGTAAGGTTGGAATGATCTTAGGGCTTTTAAACCGTCTGATCTTTTGTGCTAATAATGAATGGTTGAGATTTGTTGTTTTCAGCGGAACCACCCCGTATATATATATATATATACACACATATATATATATATATATATATATATATATACACATATATATATATATACACACACATATATATATATATATATATATATATATATATATATATATATATATATATATATATATATATATATATATATATATATATATATATATATACACATATATATATATATACACACATATATATATATATATATATATATATATATATATATATATATATATATATATATATCATGTGAGAACACATTCCTTATGTAAGAACTATAATCTATATGAGAACAAATCTAGACCATTGATCAAATTAAATCTAAAGGTCCAAAAAAAACATAGTAATGGCATTTTCGTAATTTCGTGAATTACACCTCCTTCTCTCTTTCCTATTCTTCTTGGCTTTCACGTTTATCTCTTTCTCTCTCTAACCTTTTTGCTGCTCCCTCTCTTCTCAGATTAGTGTTTTTTGGGAAATTTTATACCAATTTGAAGTATGTTTATCAGTATTATGATCTAATTTGTTTTCAAAATTCAATTATTTTACGTAATTTGCTTAAATTTGATACAAACTTACGCTGATTTTAGTTTGATTTTAGGTTTATTTGAATTTGGTTTATATATTGAACCGATTGGATTGGGTATTTTGATGATTAATCTGATTCTGTATATACTTCAAGAGCTACATTTTTTCTCAATCTCTAAAGAATCGTTGTTTGTTTCAGATTTTTTCAAATATGGTTGTCGAATTTATAATGTATTGATACTGGTTATGCAATGAGTACTCAAGTTTATTTAATCTTATGAATATTTGAGCTATAGTTGAAGTTTTGTGCTTTATCCATTATTTTTGATATTGCCCACCACCTGTTAGACGAAATGCCAAGTAGAAAATAACATGTTTTGCATATTTTTTTTTTTTTTTAAAAAAATATTTTGTCTTTCTCACTCTTTGAGCTCATTTTATGTTTTGCTGCTCATTTATGAAATATGAGTTTTTTGATTTTGTATAGCATATCTAATGAAATGTATGTTTTGTTTGGAGTTGTAGTCATTTGTTAAATTAGTACTAAGTATTTGCTCATTTGACAAATGAGAAACTAACTATTTGCTCATTTGCTAAATGGGCAAAAAATTGATTGCTTATTTCCCAAATGATCAAAGAAATGTTTGCTTCTTTTACAAATGAGTAACTAATTATTTGCTCATTTAACAAATGTGGCTCGGCCTGAATCTGAATATTATTTGCTGACCATTGTCTTAGATCTGCTCGACCTTAACCGTTAGCCAAAATGATTTTGCTTGTAGCTTCTTAGCCATGATCATCCAAGCATTTACTAGCTAGTTTTCTTTTATGCTTTCACTAATACCTCATTGTAGTAAGGAAGTTGGCCTTTTTGTATAGTCAGATATGCTACTAATCACAATCATGTGTGTGGTCTGATATCTGTGTACATCTTCTTCAATGTGCTGACAATAACAACTTACTGGCTTATCAAAAAAACAGAGGTAATGAATGTATTGCTCAACAATTCAGAATGGAGTATTAGAAAAAAAAAGTGTGGGGTGTGTTGTTTCAGACTTTCATCCATTTAGGTTGTGTTGGCCTGGTGGCTCTAGTTTTGGTGCCATTCAGAGATACCTGGCTCCCTGCAACACAGACACACAGGCACGCAGTCAACCAAACTCGGTACATTTGGAAGAGTTGCTGCATCACTCCATGTATGGTTGATTTTAGCCTCTTTTTTTCATAGCTGTTGTGAACCATATTGGGCTGTATTTATTTTTTTTTACTTCTAAGGTTTTTTACCCATACCCAGCTTGAACCTTCATAGGGGCACAATAAATACTATTTTTCCAATTCTGAACAACTAGTACATACTTTATGTTATGAATTTTCAACTGTTACTTTTTTCTAGTTGTCAAACTTTGCCTTATGATCGATTAACCTTTTCTTAAAATGAGTAAACAAATATTGCTCATTTTAGCCGGTTGATGCAAAAGAGCAAAACAATGTTGCTCATTACATATTTTGCTCATTTCGTAATTGAGCAAAATATTTTTAATCATTTCATAAATAAGCAAATATATTTTTGCTCATTTCATAGATGAGCAAAATATTTGCTCATTTCATAGATGAGCAAAATATTTTCTCATTTCATAGATTGACATAGAAAACTAATTTAAAACATATATATTTTAGCAACAATTCTTGTTAATTTATAGAATTTGTTTTATACACCCGGGTGTACCGTACACCCGGAGTTATTTGCTCATCAATTTTTTCTCACTTAATAAGTGAGAAAAAATTGATGAGCAAATAACTCCGGGTGTACGGTACACCCAGGTGTACAGAACAGACTCTCGTTAATTTATCAAATGCCCTTGGTACTTGTATATTTTCCTTGGTCTCTACTTTCTGCCTACTACCATCACTATGGTTGGGAGGGGAATTACGGTTGATATTTTGTGTCCTATGTGTGGCGAAGAGAGTGAGACAACTCTTCATACTCTTGCATTATGTAACAGTGCAGTGTTTGTTTGGTATACTTCTCCACTAAGACTCCAGCTTAGCACTTTTAAGGTTGGATCTTAGAGCTGGAGATGGTGCACACTGATATTGAATGGTAGAGCGTGTTCTGGAGTCTACTTTGGGGTATATGGTTGCAAAGAATTGCCTGGAATTTTGAAGGGAAGATGGTTGATCTAGCTGGCATTCAACAAAAAGCTATGAGCATAATTGGAGAGTATGAGAAAGCCAACGAAGCTACATCAATTATTGATCTGGGTGCTACTAGTGTTGTGCAAAAATTGGAGAAGCCTGAGGTGGGTTGGTATCAGGTAAACTTTGTACTAGTTGAGAATTGTTTACTCATTTGATAAATGAACAAAGAATTGTTGCTCATTTAATAAATGAGCAAAAAATTGTTTGCTCATTTGATAAATAAATAAAGAAATTTTTGCTCATTTGACAAATGAGTAAAGAATTGTTTGCTCATTTGATAAATGAACAAGGAAATGTTTGTTCATTCGACAAATGAGTAAAGAATTGTTTGCTCATTTGATAAATGAACAAAGAAATGTTTGTTCATTCTACAAATGAGTAAAGAATTGTTTGCTCATTTGATAAATGAGAAAAAAATTGTTGCTAATTCTTCTTCTTCCCATAGCATTAATTACTTCCTCTCTCTAAGATTCTCTTACCTTTTCTCATTTCATTTTCATTTGTGCATTTTTACTATATGTGCTTTTGCTCATTTTATTTCAGTTTTCTCATTTTAATTTTAATTTAGTTTGCTCATTTTAATTTCACTTTGCTCATTTGAATTTAGTTTGCTCATTTATGTCAATTTGCTCATTTGAATTTAGTTTGCATTAACCTACAAGCTCAACAGGTAGAGCATTGTGCAAATGCACAAAAGATGTGAGTTCGAATTCCACGTAGGTCCATTTGTGCAATGAGAAGACAAAGCGTTTATATGAGAGTTTAGTTGTAACAAAGTTTCTATAGTTATTAATCATTTCAAGCTAATTTTTCACTCATATATTTTTTGCTAATTTGATTTTCTTTATTTTTAATTAATTTTTTTTAGTTATTTATAGTTATAACCTATGTAGGAATTGAACCTACATCCTATGCATTTGCATAGTGCTATACTAGTTGAGCTAATAGGTTTTATCATATGTTATAAATAGTTTTTGCATATGTTCTAAAATTTACTGAATATGTTCCAAAATTTATTGTAACCATTCTGAAATTTTTTGCTTATGCTCTAGAATTTTCTACCTAAGCTCTAAAAATATGTCTTAAATTTTATTTCTATGTTCTAAATTTTTTCACCTTATGTTGGCAATTTATAAATTAAAAAGAATTGTTGCTCATTTGATAAATGAGCAAAGAATTGTTTACTCATTTGATAAATGAACAAAATATTATTGCTCATTTAAGAAATGAGCAAAGAATTGTTTGTTCATTTCATAAATGAGGAAAAAATTATTTTCTCATTTGATAAATGAGCAAAGAATTGCTGCTCATTTGATAAATGAGCAAAGAATTGTTGCTCATTTGATACACGAGCAAAGAATTATTTGCTCATTTGATACATGAGACTTAATTTATGTACATATCATCTTTCATTAATATGGCTAATTTCATGACAATTGAGAGTTCTGAGAACTATTTAGGCATATATATACCTTAATCCTTCCATATAATCAATTTTAGAAATAACAACATCCAAATACAGTAACATACTCTTCTCGCTCATTAGAATTTAATTACAGTAACACACTCTTTGAAAATTTCACATAAATTAAACCTAAGAAATTTCACTCAATAGAATTCGAAAATGAGCAATCAAATAAGAAAATACAGGTCATCTCGAAACAAAATTAACATAAACCGAATGAAATCAGCAATCTAACATAAACCGAACAATGTAATTACAACTTCATATCAAAATGAAAATTATGACGAAAAACCAAGATTAAGAGCATGAAATTCGAAATTTACTAACCAAAATTATATATGAGTGAATAAGAGGAGGGATAAAGTAGCGATCCTTCAAGTTTCAAGCCATTAATGTCTACCTTTAAGCTTTGGAGAGAAAGAAAGAAGGTGGGTAATTTTTTTCTGGAGAGAGAAAGAAGTAATGTGTGATTTTTTATATTTTTTTTTTTTGAAGGAAGGTTTGTTTGGTTATAAATTGCATTTTTGCCATTATTATGTGAGCAATCTTAACAGTTGGATCTTGTAGAA